CTCTGCCTCCCGAGTGCTGGGATTAAAGACGTGCGCCACCACTGCCTGGCTTGCTCTACTTTTAAAAATACTTAAGTGTGAAAAAAAATTCTGTCAAAGAGCCCGTGAAATGGTCAAAGTGAGTAGACTTTGAAAATGGACTTGGGTATTTTCTTTCATTTGATTGTTAATGTGTTTTGTTTGTTAATTTCAGAACCGTGGAAGATTTGAAAAATAATGAAAGCCAGTGGAAAGATTCCCCGCTGGCCACCCGACACCGAGAAATGCTGAAGCGCTGTAAAACTCAGCTCAAGGTTTGTCCAGTTCATTGACATAATTGTGGACCAGCCTCATAATAGTAATCTTTCCACCAGAATAAGCACCTTGATGTCTCGATTTTTTCTTCATTGTTCTTTTCCCTCAAGGTAAAATAGGATAATTTAAAACTTGTTTATAACTTGCATATTTCTGGGTATAATTATTTATATCCCAGTAGAAAATGTATATATGCTTACACAGTTAATTCTTAGTACGTGTTCTCATTTGTAGTGTAACCTCTCCACCCTTTCCCAACCTTGTGAAAGACCCTCTACCCTGTCACACGCATGCTCCAGTACACGCAGCCACACATGGTCGTGGTACTTGACAAAGCGCATTGTGGTAATAGATCTCTTTCATTTATCTCCTTGTCCTTCATTTCTGATTGAAAATCATCTGTTACATAGAACCTAACTATAGACAGAAATATCCCTGCTGGTAAAACTCAGCTAAACACAAACACTGGCTGACCTTGCATGGGAAGGCAGAGAAGCATGTGTGTACATTTTCTGTGCTTATGTTCGGATTATAAAGCTGAATGTTAGCTGCTCGTGCTAAGTGGGATTATAGAGAAAAGTATCTCTTTGATTCTGTGACAAGCTAAGATTTCAGGTTGTCATTTGCTAATAGACTGGACTGCTTTAAGATACAAAATAGAGGGCCTGGAGAGATGGCTCAGTGGTTAAGAGCACTGCCTGTTCTTCCAGAGGACCCGGGTTCAATTCCCAGCACCCACACGGCAGCTCACAACTGTCTGTAACTCCAGTTCCAGGGGATCTGACACTTTCACACCAATGCACATAAAATAAATTTAAATTATTAAAAAAAAGATACAAAATAGAGATGGGCATAGTGGCTCCACCTGTAACCCCAGCACTTTGGAGCCCAGGACAAGGGGATGGCAGTGAGTTCAAGGCCAGCCTGGGCTACAGGAGAGACCCTGTCTTAACAACAGGATGCAGAATAAACCAGGGTTCCCTTTCAGATCTGTAGCCCCCTTCATATTTATCCGGCAGTTGTGTTTCAGGGATCTGTAATAAGCTGTTTGAATCCCCCATCATGATGTGTGTCTCTGTGTATCCTCTGAGGGACAGCAACCTGTGGGCAGACGTTTTGCTTAAGGCTAGCACATAAATAGTGGTGTTGAAATTCACATACAGTTTGTCTGGCTTTTTTCCACTAATTTTCCCGACACCCACAGGGCCTCCCTGTCTACCCCATCCAAGTTACTGGGAAATGGTATCAGTGACTAACCTCAAGCACTAACTGTGTGCTGTCCTCTGTGCTCGGTGGTTTGCATGGCATACCTACCTGTTGGTTTTTTTTTTTTTTTTTCAGGGGAAAAAAAAAAAAGATCTTGACACAGTGATCAGTGTCCTGTAGCTAGTTAGAAAGGAACTTCTAGAGACTCTAGAACCCGGGTGTCTTAGCTCCTGGCCCCTCTCCCGCCTAGTCACGCTGAGGGGCCTTGACTCCAGACTAATCTATGGGTGGGGGCACACCTACTTCCACAGAAACTGGTACGGTGCAAGGCCTGTGCTGACGCTGGCTTACTTGACGAGAGCTTCCTGAGAAGATGTCTGAATTTTTATGGCCTTCTCATTCAGCTGCTGCTCCGCATCCTGGACCCTGCATATCCCGAGTGAGTGTGTCTTCCCTCCGCCACCTCTCTGCCTTCTCTCTGCGTCCGCTGTGTCGTCCTGATTGTTCTTCAGTCATAGCTGCAGCCAAACCCTACCCTCCTGAGGATTGGCCTTTCATTTGCCAATTATATTTATATCACAGACTGTGAAGCTACATTACTATTTCCCCATGTGGTTTTTAATGGGTGGCATTTAAAAACCTTTGCTATAGCTTTGGATGGCTAGAAAAGCAAATCTATAAATTAGAAGCACAGTGCTAGAGATAACAGCCTTCTGAGTCCTCCTAAGCACCGAGTCCAGGAGGGCCAGACATTGACAGTCACTGCTGTTTAAGTTACAGCTGTTTGATGTTCATTAGGAAGCTCCTGGGTCACAGGTGTTGGTGAGGTTTGGCCTGTGCCCCTAGAGTGGGAAGGTTCTATAAATACATGCATGGCGTGTGGCTCCTTTGAGTCGCTCAAGATGACCAAACATGACCTTCCTTCCCATTTTACCACTGCCGAACTCTAGCAGAAATCCAGATGAGCAAACACTTGCCACACGGAGTGTGCCTGTCTCCCTCATCTGCTCTTACCTCCAGAGGTCACAGTTGTTTGCCTGTGTACATTTTACACAGCTGTGTTACACAGTAAGGGCTTTTTCCAAAATGAGGTATTTAGTCGTATAACACCCTACTTATCAACATGCCATGATTTTGTTTTGTAAATTGTGCTTTTTTTCTCTTCTACAGCGTAACACTGCCTTTAAGTTCAGATGTCCCCAAGGTGTTTGCAGCATTGCCTGAGTTTTATGTAGAAGACGTTGCTGAATTTTTATTTTTTATTGTACAGTAAGTGCTTCCCATGCTGTGTGTTCTGTTTGTACACTGTACATGGTACTGTGACCTGTGTTCCAAACCTTCGTTTAACCCTGGGCTTGTGTGACTTTCTTTACCTGAAAGCTGCTCACAAAACTGGAGAATTAAACCCTGTTCAGCAGCAGTTGATTCCAGTACAGAATCTCCAGGACAGACGCAGATGAACAGTGTAGGGGACAAGCTCTTTGTGAAACCTGAGCTCAGTGTTAGATAGTTGAGTGTATTCCTGAGAAATGCCCCAGTGAACACCAAAAACCAGAAGCACCACAGCTGTGTTTTGAACTAAAAGAAAAAAAAAAGTGTCCATTTGTAAAATTGGAGATAGTGTAAAAAAATGGGAGAGTTTTCTTTTTTTGTTTGGATTTTTGTTTTTGTTTTCCTATAATACTAATTTCAGGGTCTCAAGCTTTCACTGGCAGGACCTCAGTGGAAGGTCATCTGCCTAGCATGTGAAAGGCCTGGATTCGATCCCCAGAACCACCAAAAGAAAATCAAAAACAAATAAATAAAACCTTTCACTCTTTGTGTTGAACACATCACTATAACCTGGGAACAATACTGGGTGGCAGAGGGGTGTGTCTGAAGTCTGCTTGCAAAGCAAAAGCAGGGACTTCAGAGGTCTTGATCTCAATTCCCAGCAACCATAAGGTGGCTCACAGCCATCTATAATGAAATCTGGTGCCCTCTTCTGGCCTGCAGGCAGAACACTGTATACATAATAAATAAATAAATCTTAAAAAAAAAAAAAAAAAGGCAAAAGCAGCATAGACTCATGGCCCAGAGTGCAAATAGCAAGTATTTCCCAGTAACAACAAAAAATCCAAAGTTAAAGCAAGTTGAATTACTGTCATCAGAGCTGTCCCAGCCGAGCACAGTGTCACACACATCCCAGTACCTGGAAGCTCAGGCAGGAGGGTTGTGAGTTCCAGGCCAGGCAGGTATAGGTGGTAGACCATCCCTCAGACAACAAAAGAACAGAGAAACTGTTCCCAGACAGGCCCAGTCAGTAGTGATACATGGATTTTGAATGGCGAGAAATTTAAAGGGTGATCAAAGGTTATAGTTTAGTTGCTGAGTAAATTCAGTATTAGAATTTAAGTAGCTTGAGTCATTTATTCCAAACATGATAATATAGACACATACTTGAAATTTTTTATTTCTTAGAACAAATTTTATTTGTTTTTTTAAAACGACATGTATTTATTCCTGTGTATGCATGGGGACTTTGCATGCTCTCGAGCTTCTCTCTGTGGGAATTGGTCCTCTCCTGCTGCTGTGTGGGTCCTGGAGACACCAGTGTCACCATCTTGTTGGCCCTAGAAGTTTCCAGTTAGACATTAACTCCATGAAAACCCTTTTAAAGCTGGCTTGGTCACAAATTCCTTAATCTCAGTACTTGGGAGGTGGGGGCCAAAGGTAACAAGTTCAAAGCCAGCCTAAGCCATATAGTCAATCTGAGGCCAGTTGGAGCTGTTTAAGACCCTGTCTTTTAAAAAATAAATAAGTAAACACCTCCCCCTTTGGGTGGTGAAGACCTTTCTGTGAAGTCCACTTAAGCTGTGGCTTCCTTTCTGAAGCGTGGTTCACACAGCTTTCTGCAGCCAGCACACACATTTGGCTTTACATCTGTGTTGTTCCAATGTGCACATCACTTGAACCATCCAAAGGGACCTGGTACCTGCCCTCCCCCACTGTGCCCCGTCTGCCTCCTTTCCTTCCCATGGTTCCTGGCAACTCACCGAGTGTCCTTTCCTCTGTTCAGATATTCTCCTCAGGTGCTTTATGAGCCCTGTACTCAGGACATCGTGATGTTCCTCGTGGTGATGCTGTGCAACCAGAATTACATCCGAAACCCATACCTAGTGGCCAAACTGGTGGAGGTCATGTTCATGACCAACCCTTCTGTCCAGCCTCGAACTCAGAAGTTTTTTGAGATGATTGAGAACCATCCTCTCTCTACAAAATTGCTGGTACCTTCCCTCATGAAGTTCTATACAGGTAGGTTTCGGATGTGCCTTCTGGCATGTGGCTATATGACAGACAAGGTTGTTTCAGAGTGAACTTAAACCTAAAACTGTGACCTAAAATCCATAAACAGCTAAATAAATAATCCTGCCTTCGGAGACTCCAACATCCGCTTCTGCAGATCACTTACCAGCCCGTTCTGAGCATGTCCTCTCCTCAGGCGTCTGAGAGAGAGGTGACACTGGCCACTGTGTGTGCTGGCTTCTGCTGCTTTAGCAGACTCCATTTGTTGTTAGTAGTCCAAGTTGGTGTTTCCATCTGAGTGAAATGACCTGGATCATTTGCCTTTGCATTTACAGCATTTGATATGTAACACCATCCTGTAATTGAGTTTTCAAAGTGTGGGTAAAATAGAGAGTTTTTATAAATGTCCAAGGTCATCCTTGATAGCAAGTTTGAGGTTAGCTTAAAGCTACTCAAAGCAACAACAAGAAAAAGTATATTGGCTCTCATCCAAGCCAGTAAAATGAGGATTCTGTGGTCCTCCGGGAGCCTTCCCTCGTTCATTAATTTATCACAATTCCTGAGCCCCTAATACTTGTGTGTGATCTTCCCTGTGCCCAGTTATACTTGGAAGTGACAGAACATGGCAAATGTGCTTCAAGGAGAGTCCCCTCCTCTGGTCAGATGGCATTCCACCTTTTGACTGTCTTTAAAACTTAGCTTCTGAAGCCAGGTGTGGTGGCAGAGGCAGAAGGATTCCTTGTGAGTTCAAGGACAGTCTGGTCTACAGAGTGAGTTTCAGGACAGCCAAGGCTGCACAGAGAAACCAGGTCTCAAAAAAAAAAAACAAACAAACAAAAAAGTCAAGATAATAATAATATAATAATAAAATAAAATTTGGCTTTTGAACTGTTGGTTTGATCTGTCTCTTAATAAAAACACAAGACTGTGCTATTGAATCAGTTAACCAGTTTGTGTGTTTCCCAGGGTGTCAAATGTGTCCTGTCTTCTCATCTCCTATTAAACCTGGCACATTCTAGCCACTCTGTAGGTGCCTGGCATTTAGTAGACCCCACTGTGTTCTGCAGAAATAGGTGGCTTACAACACATGTCCTTGCTGCTGATGGGGTGGCCTGTTTGAGGATGCCCAGTGTTCAGGGACAGGAGTTGCCCTCTGCCCGTCTGGAACTCGTTCGCCTGCCATTCCCTTTATCACTGTGACTTTGTTGCATCTGTTAAGAGCTGCTTCTTACCCTACTCAGGCACTCTTAAGTATAAAGTAGGCACATACTGTCTTGGAGGTTTTGTTCACATCCTTTCTTTGGAGACACTCCAGTGCACTGATGGATAAAAGTCCCTTTTGGGGGTCTGAGTCCTTTGATCTCATAGCCATGGTCAGGGGTAGCTCAGGATATTTAGGTAAAAATGATGCCTTGTGTGTATTCAGGACACTGCATGTTGGGGGCCAGCCTGGTCTACATAATGAGTTCTAGTCCAGTCAGGGATACATAGTGAGACCCTGTCTCAAAAAGAAAAAGTATAGAAAATGCCAAGAAATAACCACATTCCACAGGAGATATGTATTAATATTAAAAAATAAATTTTTGTTAAATAGAATTAGTATTCAGTTAGTGGTCTGGGCATGTTACTGTAGCTTCATGATAAATTTGTGTGTGTGAGAGAGACGGGGGGAGAGGGAGGAGAGCACTCTAGCACACTTGAGAAGCATGTGGGTAGGTATTATTTGCTCTTCTCCTTTGTCATGGAGCAGGATGCCCTCTGGCCTGAGCCCCTCCATAGTCATGGATAGATGACACCTTTCCTAAAAATAGTTGCCACTCGTGGTCACTGTTCACTTGATCCACATAGCTGTCAAAGAGATGGGTACTATAAATACCTCTATTTTACAAATGAAGAAACTTGAGCTTGGAAAGGTCAAGAAGCTTGCTGAAGGTTACTGGCTAGTGAGTGACAGGTGCCCAGCAGCTGGATTCTAGCACAAGTGTGCCTGACTATTCTGCTGTTCTTCCATGGTTACAAGAGCTTTGACCCTGCAGGATGCCTCACACACATATTCCCCTACGGGTCTATCCACCACCCACCCCATCAAGATCTGCCCTGAACAGGCTGCCTCTAAGATGAGACTTTGTAGATAGATTGCTGGAGCCAGCACCTCTCAGGCCACAGAGCGGTATTTTCACTTAAGAAGTGCTTAAATACAACCTTGTTTCAAAAATAAAATTAGACATCAAAATAAGAGTTTTTGGTACGTCTCCTAATAGTCTTCCTTACAAAAGAATTCTGAGGACAGGGAGGCTATGGATAGGGCTAGACTTACTTATTTCCAGGTTTTTCCTTCCCCAGAGCTGACTGGCTGCACAAAGCCAGCAGTCAGTGTAGAGTCCATCACTAAATCAGCAGGTCTTTGTGCTAGGACTACTGTGGGAAGACTCCAGAATCCCTCATTGGGAGGCAGACATGGGAGATGGGGAGGGGTTGGAGACAGTAGGTGTGGGAGAAGATGGGGTACTTCAAGAAAGATGGTTGGGGAAGGTCTCTGAGGAAGTGATACAAACATGAGCATCGGTAGATCTCAGCCGCAAATGGATAGAAGCCTGATCATTGGTAGATCTCAGCCGCAGAGTGGCAGAAAAAGAAAGCAGTGAAATGAATCTAGAAAGAAGGCAGTAAGAAGCCTTTCTCAAGCTGGGCATGGTAGCACACGCCTTTAATCCCAGACTCGGGAGGCAGAGGCAGATGAATCTCTGTGAGTTCAAGGCCAGCCTGGTCTATGGATAAAGTTCCAGGACAGCCAGGGCTCCATAGTGAGACCCTGTCTTGAAAAGAAACCCTTGCTGAGAGAGGACAGGGTTTGGGAGGTTAGTGAGGGACAAGTCCATTTAACGATCTAGAGCTAAGACTTGGGATTAGAACCTGGGCAGGTGGTGTCGGTTGTTGTTTGGCTTTTGAGTGGGTGGGGGCAGAGCCATCCAGCTTTTGAATAAATCATATACGGTGGTTTATTTTTAATTATGAATGCCCGGCCTTAGCTTGGCTTAGTTTCTAGCCAGCTTTCCTTAAATTAATCTGTCTATCTTTTGCCTCTGGGCTTTTCCCATTCTCTAACTTCTGCAAATCATACTCTTATTCCATGGCTTGTCATGTAGCTTGGAGTCCTCCTCCTCTGGCTGCTCCCTCTTAGATCTCTCTTCCCAGTTTTCTCCTTCTATTTATACTCTCTGCCTGCTAGCCCTACCTATCCTTTCTCCTGCCTTGCTATTGGCCAGTTTTTTATTAAACCATCAGATGTTTTATACAGACATAATAACACAGCTTCACAAAGTTGAACAAATAGAATATAAACAAAAATAACATATCTTAAAGTAGTCTACTACACGTAGGGATGATGTGAGGAACCATTAGGAACAAATAAGAAAACAGATATTGGGAGAGATGATGCCCGTGGGCAGGGAGCTCACAGTGTGGCTTAGCTTGGGGTGTCTGGGGTGCAGCCCAGAATGGGGCGGCTTCGGATGACGACGGAGCTGTGCCGGCCTCCAGTTTTCTGTCTTGGCAAGCTTTGCTTGAGTCACTGCTGCCACCTCCGTTCACACGTTGATGTAATAAATAAAATGGCACTCACTTCATCCAGAGAAGAGTCGGCTTCATGAGTATACGGAAGTACTTTCCAGTCTTACATGGGAGGAATATCTTAGTCCTTTTCCTTTACTATTAAACAGCGGGTTTTCACCCCCAAACTGTAGGCTTTGGAAAATACAGAAGAAAGGCAGGGGTGATGTTTAGAGTGATTGTATGATTTGTACCAGGCTCTGGGTTCCACCCACAGCACTGTAAAAGACAGTACCAAGCAGAATTTAGAAGTCCCGCATCATCTATGTGCTCAGAGTCTGTGTAATATTTTACTACAAATCTGGTGTATTTTTTATTTTTGGGGTGTGTTGTGTGGTGTGTGTGTGTGTGTGTGTGTGTATTGTAGTGTATTGTATTGTATTGTATTGTATTGTATTGTATGAATAGAGGTCAGAAGACAAATTGCAGGTCCTTTTCTATCCTTCCCACATGTGGGTCCTGAGGCTTGAACTCAGGCTTCTAGCGATGGCCAGTGCTGCTTCTTACTGAACCACCTTGCTGACCCTCAGTCACTTTTAAAAAGCTCTCATTATGCCCAAGCTGTACATTTGTTTTCATAGTCTCTGGTTTTTATCAGACTTTTATTTTATCAGGATTACTAACTTTTTTCTAGTCAAAAACAGTATTTCTGTGCAGTGGTAGAACAGTTGTCTAGCATCTCAAGGCCCTGGGTTCCATCTCTAGTATTGTAAAAATAAAAACGATGCAGTATTTGGTGTGCTGGCAGGTGGTCTTTGTAAACAGCTGTGAGCAGTTTCTGGAGTGGAGTCAGTAGCGGAGTGGAAGCACTGACTGCCGTGCTACAGGGTGCAGACATTTGAGGGTAGGGTTGTTACATTTAAGACAGTCCCGTGCACCCAGACTGGCATCCCATTGTTGTGTAGCAGAGGCTGGCCTCGGCCTCCTGATTTTCCTGCCTCTCAGTGCAGGGAATATAGGCATGTGCCACCACACTTGCTACTCAGCTGTTTCCAGAGAGATATCGTCACTGTTTATTCACCCCCAGCATGTGTAGTATGCCTGTTTTTCTGAATATTTTTTGTTTGTTTGTTTGCTTTTTCAAGACAGAGTCTCTCTGTGTAATTTCCCTAGAACTCACTCTATAGAGCAGGCTAGACTCAAACTCACAGAGCTCTGTTGTTCCTGTTTAAGTTGTTTTGTTACCAATAAAGAGTCGGGAGTCACATTCCAGGTCTAAACCTGACAGGTCAAAGAGTCCATCGAGGAGCGGCCTGCGGACCTCTCCACACTTCCGGATTTCCGAGATGGGAAGTCTGAGTCTCTCCCTGCTCCTGCCTTCTCTGTCTGTCTTCCTGGCTTCTCTATGGCTAATTCTGGTCAGCGAGTCACAGGCTTTGCCCCCTGATTCAAGGCTAATGCTATTAACACAGTCTCAGTGTGAAAGTGCCATCAAATATCCTGCCACAGAGATCCTCCTGCCTCTGCCCCCCAAGTGCTAGGATTAAAGGCAGGCGCCACCACTGCCTGACCAGTCTTAGTTTTATTGTCTGCCCATATGCTATGCTATAAAAGGTAGCTCGTTTTAATTTCCCTTGTGTCTTTGTTGAGCTGTGACTGTCTTTCCCTGACAATTTTTCTCCTTATAAAGCCTGCACTGAATATGGAACGTCATGCTAACGTTGGCCATCGGCGTCACCAGGTTTAGTCTTCACCCATCCTACATTACAGGGGTGCTGATGACCTGAGCCATGAGTGTGGGTAGTCACTGCGCATTTCTCTACTTTAGGATGGGCTTGGAAAATGTCTGATACAAAGTGTTTAAAATAATAGACAAGTAGTAGGTACATATACAATGTAGCCTATTGTTTTCTGCTCAGAGATACACATATGAACTGCGTGGAATTTCCTTAAACTAACAGCTTAAAATGGGCTGGAGATGTGATAAATGAGCTTTTATCATCATTAAGGTTAATACTGTCCCAAAGGTGTTGGCTTTGTCTCATATTCTTGTAGATGTTGTATCCACTGCAGACTTTAATCATGAAACTTTGGTCTTTAAAATCGGGTTATAAGGGGAGAGGTACACTTCAATCCCAGCACTCTGGGAGTCAGAGGGAAGTGACTCTCTGTGACTTCCAGGATGTCCAGGGCAATATAGTAACACCCAGTCTTTAAGAAGCCAGTTGCTGGGTGTTGGTGGCGCACACCTTTAATCCCAGCACTTAGGAGGTAGAGTCAGGTGGATCTCTGTGAGTTCAAGGCCAGCCTGGGCTACAGTGTACTCCAGGACAGCCAAGGCTACAAAGAGAAACCCTGTCTTGAAAAACTATAATGAGGGGAGAGAGAATGAAGTCATAATTCTCTTTTGCCTTCCATGGGAGACACAGACAACATTTTACCAGCTCCAGGGTCCTTCCTGTCACTGTCATTGTGGGGACTGCATCTGGAAGGTTAGGAAGCACATCTGTCTGAGTCTCTTTGTCTTTCCTCCTTAGATGTCGAGCATACTGGAGCCACCAGCGAGTTCTATGACAAGTTCACAATTCGCTATCACATTAGCACTATTTTTAAAAGCCTTTGGCAAAACATAGCTCACCATGGCACCTTCATGGAGGAGTTCAAGTGAGTATTGGGCCCCTGATGGCACAGCTTGCTCTCTGGAAAATCACAGGCGGGAAGCTGCTGAGAGCAGCGGGTTCCAGTGCCTGTACCCTTGGTTTCAGCCTCCTGCAAGGAGCCACAAGGAGCCGCTTGGTGTGGCCACCTATCTAATTGCCGGCTTACTTTAAGTTGTCAGCACTAGGGTGGCTTACATGAGGGAATGTTCTGGAAAAATGCACATGTAAAGTGATTTTTGTGTTTTCTTTGTATTATATGCTATTAAATGAAGCTATCAGACTGACCCAGAAATGTTGAGGAAACAAGATTTAGAAGCACTTAGGTTAAGGTGGCCACTTAATGTTCATTTGGTGTGCTTAGGTGCCAAGCCGTATTAGTTACTCTTCATATGCCAGCTTGAAATTGCAGGGCCAGCTTAAGCCTGGCCTCTAAGTTATTTATAAGTACTTGAAAGAAGAAAGATGAGTGTAAACATTGAATGAAGCCTTGCATTATTCTTCAAAAGAAGCTTTGTTCCATCCGCATAAGATCTTTGATCCAGTCTGTCTGTGTTAACTGAACTAGGAGTTGATAACGCGGCAGCTTCACCACTTGCGGGGTACTTCTTCAAGGGAGACTAAGTTAAGCTGCGTTTGTGATCAGTTAGGTTCCTGATGACCCCCCAGCTTGTGCTCCATGGTCCTAGTGTCCCCTCATTCCTGAGACTGAGGCCAGCTGCTCTTGTTAACAGGTAGGCCAGGCTATCCCAGTTCCCCAGTAAGTCCCTTCATTACAGTGCAGTCGACAGGGTCCCTTAGACCCCAAGCTTTGGCTTCTGGAGAATGAGTTCTTATCTTTCTTAGTGAGTCTTCTTTGTGATAGGAATAACTTGATCAGTAGTTTCTTGCCTCTGTGTTTGGGAAATTCTTCACGCTGCCTGTGCCAAGCTCAGCCTGGAAGAGTGTGTCGTCTACTTAAAACACAGAGCAGTGAGCCAGTGCTGGGCTGTGCTGTGAGCCTCTCCAAAAGGAGGAATTTCAGCCTTTGCTACTTTTCCACAGTGTAACTATATAAATTATTGCCAAATATAAAGTGCCAAGGAAATCAGCTCAGAACATTCTGGAATATTTAGCAGTTGTTTCATACCAGCCATACAAGGCTGGTCCAGCATGCCACTAGAATGAGCTTATCACAAGGAACTAAAAAGGATAGCAGGGATGGAACTTGGTGGCTTGTGTCTTGTCCAACCTCTGTGATGCTGAGGCAGGAAAGGAGTTTGACATCAGCCTGGGCTATGTAGACCCTTCTCAAAACAAAACAAACCAAAAAGAATAGCAAAATCTGAGGAGAGTTGATCTGGTGTATGTGCCAAGAGCTGCAGTCTCACAGGTGACCTCATTTCTCAGTGGCCAGCCAGCTGTGTGACCTCACACTGTCTCATTGCCTTTCAGTTCTGGAAAGCAGTTTGTTCGCTATATCAATATGCTGATTAACGACACGACCTTTCTGCTGGATGAAAGTCTGGAGTCACTGAAGCGGATCCATGAAGTGCAGGAAGAGATGAAGAACAAGGAACAGTGGGACCAGTTGCCTCGGGTGAGGGTGGCCTGGTGCTTCCCCAGCTCTGCGTTGTCTGCCTGGGGACTGACCCAAGGGCTGCACCTACAGGGCTGCCTGGAGAGGCGAGAGCTGGCTTCACTGCCAGGCCTTTGCCGCCTGTAGGCTTTCCTGAAGTAGCGTTTCAGGTTTGAGATAGGAGACGACTTCTGAAAGGTTTTTAGCCGGAGCTAAAAATTGGGGTGGAGGATGTGGCTCAGTGGTAGCATGCTTGCATAGCATGCTTAAGGTCCTAGATTTGATCCCCAGTTCTCCCTTCCAGCCCCCCAGAAAAAAGTGCACTCTCTGCCGAGTTTCAGGCAGGAATGTTGCTTAGTACTAAGACTGACTGTCAGGCTTTTCCTCAAAGCCAGATTCTCGTTGTCAAAAACAATCCGGTGTGAAGAACTAGAGAGATGGCTTATCCCTTAAGAGTTCTTACTGCTCTTCCAGAAGGCCCAGGATCAGTTCCCAACATCCTCATTAGGCGGTTCACAAGTGCCTTTAAGTCAGGTCTGACGGTCTGATGCCTTCTGGCCTCCCGAGACTCCTACACACCTGTGCTGCACGTAAACTCAGGCACACGCATATTCATAAAATAAAACATTTATGTATGTGTCAATATATAATTTAAAAGGATGAATCTGGATTCAAAAACCACCAAAATATTTTTAAAATAAAATCTTAAATCCAAGAAATGAGAAGCCATTCCCAGTGCATCGTGGACACTTGCCCTGCCTTTTAATTAAAAGGGCTATTTAAAGGAATGTTTAATTGTATATATTAAGTCTTATGTCTTAAGTGGTAGCCAGGAAATAAATCTCTAGGCTTCTCTCTGCTGGGTGAATTGGATTTGTTCATATGGCCTTCTGTAGACATCTGAGAAACTCCTAGGATTCTGTTGGAACTTTTTTTCTGTTGATCTTGATTTTCACATTTGGTTGCTATTAGAAAAAAGTCTAGTTGCCAGGTTTCTTGAGAAATTCATGCTGTACCAGTAACAATACACTTCCCTCTTCTGACACCTAGTAGGCCCTGACAACTCCTGGGAATGCCATAGCTGGGTTGGCTCAGAGCCAAAGCCACTTTCCACAGGGTTCTGCCCCTTTTGAGAGACGTGGGGGGGCCTGAGCTCACAGTGGCAGTGTTGGTGTCCTTTTGTGGAGTCAAAAGCATCTTCACTGTAGGACACTGAAGGACATTTAAGGAAAATCCTCTCTCTCTCTCTCTCTCTCTCACTCTCTCTCTGTCTCTGTCTCTGTCTCTGTCTCTGTCTCTCTCCCCCCCTCCTCTCCTCTCCTCTCTCTCTTACTCATCTCACTAGTATGTGACCCTGGTTCTTGGTTGGCCTGGAACTCACAGAAATCCACTTGCTTCAGCCCTCCGATTGTTAGTATTAAAGGTGTGTGCTACCATGCCCCAGTTTAGGGAAAGTTTTCATCACAAGTATTCCTGCAGCTTTGATGAGAATTTCACATCTTGTACCTTCCAAAGGCTTCTGCCTAGGGCTCCATGAGTGCCTGGTGCCCCTGGATCCGTGTCCCCACAGCCCTTGCCTCTGATGCTGTTGAGATAAGCAGTTTTCCACTGGATCTGTGTGTCCAGGCTGTGTCTTCTGCCCAGGGCTCCAGGCCCGTTTCCAAACACTCTTCAGCTGTTTTGCTTCTGTCCCTCTTGAGGTGGACTCTGCACGGACTGCTGCCCCATGCCTTCCCGGTGTGTTTCTAGGGGATTCTTGTAGCTCTAGCCTCCAGCAGTCTCCAGACTGTTCAAACCATCCTGAGGAACAGACCAGGCAAAGCCAAAAGAGCCTCAGCCCTTACGCCCAGGGTGAGCTGAGTCTGTGACCTGCAGGACAGACCCAGCCATCAGTGCACAGAGTTCTAGTGTGCCATTGGTCTTCCCATTCTGTCTGAACCCTGCCAAAGGGCTGGCTGTCCCTAGCAAGTGTCCTGCACAGCCCCACCTCACTCTGCTTCCTCTTCAGAGCTTGTAGGCGCTCTCGTGTTGTTCAGTGGAGACCAGCTCATCTCTGAGAAGTTGGGCTCTGAGCCTAAAGCCCGTTCTCTTTTCTCAGTCGGTGCGTTTATTTAGACAACAAGTACTATTGATTCTTCTCTTAATGGATTTTTGTAAAAGGCACAAATCATCTCTAAGGTGTTTTTTCACAAACAACTTTTCCTTGACCCTTGAGGTTGCTGGCTGCCTTCCACTTCCTCATCCCCCAGCCTCTGAGCAATGTTAGCTTCAGAGCTCAGTCCTCTGCTTCTTCTAAGTGTTCTCCACCCCTGCCCCTGGATAGCGTTTCTCAGTGGGGTACCAGCAGGATGCTGAAGCATATTGAAACTCTGATGTCTGGTGTTGGAGCAATCTCTGTAACAAGAAACTGTGCCTGACAGCGTTCATTTAACACCTGTGATGTCTCCCTATTATTTCCTCTGTCTTTGTCATACCCTGCCCCCCCCATACCTACCCTCCACTCCTCACACAGCCAAATAGACTCCTGCACATTCGCTGATGCCTCTACTTGACATCACTGCCAGCTGATCTCATCTTCTCCAGGACTTTAAATATCTGTCTTTTAAAGACTGCAAAATAGAGCTCTGCTACTTAGCGCACTGCTACCCACAGACCTCTGAACAGTGTTGGCTTGCTTTGCCTTCAGGCTGTCCCACAACTGTCTTAATCCTACTTGTCCGTGTTGTCCTTCAAATCTGCTCTGTGAGTCACAATCAGCGACTGTAATTAACAGCAGGTTCATTCCACCAATTGCCGGGTTGTCCTTGATTCTTCTATGCCTCCTCCCCATCTAGAGGCTGTCTTTTATTTCCATGGGCTAAAGCTTTCATCGGTAGAGTGCTTGGCCCGCGTGCATGAAGCTCTGGGTTCAAACCCTAGCAGCCTATAAACTGAGTGTAGTTGTATGCCCCTGCAATTGCAGTATTCAGGGTATGGAGGCAGGAAGGTCACCATTCTGTATTGCCATCATTATTGCAGTACAGTCTTGGGCTCGCAGCCTCCACCCTTGCTAGTGCTCACAGCAAAGGGATGTCCCCTCTGGACTCTTCTCACTCAGGCCCTGTAGCCTACAGGGCACGCACTTTTCTACCCATGTCTGCTAACACCCTCATCTCCACTCACTCCACTCCTACCCTGGCCTCTCTGCTGTTCCTCTTCACAATTGCTGTTCCCTCTAGTGCTTCCTATAGTGCTCTTCACCCAGACTTTTGGGACCCCAACATCACTCTTTCTCGAAAGTCTCCCTAATTCTTCACCATCACTGTCAGCCTTTCTGAGTGTCTGGTCGATGGGTGCGTTAGAGGTTTTTGAGGCAAGGTTTATGTATTTATTATGTATACAACATTCTGCCACCGTGTAACTTTGCACACCAGAAAAGGGCACCAGATCTCATTATGGATGGTTGTGAACCACCATGTGGGTGCTGGGAATTGAACTCAGGACCTTTGGAAGAGCAGTCAGTGCTGTTAACCTCTGAGCCATCTCTCCAGCCCAGACAAGAGTTTCTTTGTATAGCCCTGGCTGTCCTGGATCTCACTCTGTAGACCAGTTTGGCCTCAAGCTCATAGAGATCAACCTGCTTCTCGCTCCTGAGTGCTGGGAGTAAAGGCGTGCGCCGCCGCCGCCGCCGCCGCCGCCGCCGCCGCACCTGGCTTGTTTTTATATT